CGACTCGTCGCGTATACGTAATGCGAACGAAAAGTCAGATGCCACGTACACATTGCCGCATCTTGCGTCAAAATTGTTTCCGTTGACGCACATTACTTTGCATTTAAATAAAAATATGCAAATTATATAATTTGCCATGTCAGCGCGGTCAGCAAAGTAGCCTGGAACGTGCTGTTGGTCGTAATCTTATCTAAAAACGATAGTTTTCCGGGCTGATTGTGTTTTCAAGATCGAAGATTAATTTGAACCAACGCAAAAATAAAGTTAGTTACGCTAAAGACACAGATAATAACATAATTGCGTGCTTTATTTTGTCTCAAGCATATTCTATTCGAACAGAAACTGGGAATACACCGCTATCGCAAACCGTTATAAAATCGCGAGAGAATGGAAATTCTTTCCGCCGTCTCAGATGAATAAGAGAGCTCCACGGTCGAAGGATGCCGCGTCCTTTTAATCTCCGCTCTCAGAAACCGCGCTTAATAATAATCTGTTACACATTGAAGGGCACACAGCGCGGCATAACTGCGATATATCTGCGTTGCAATCGATAATTCACGCTGCGTCAGGGTCAGTGTGTTAAACCGCATATCCTGTATACGACGCTCGTGTATTCTTCCTTGGAACTATCTTTATAAGTAATCACGCACTCTTCGTGTGTATAGCGTGAGGAAATAAACGTCATAGCTTTTAAATATATCGGGAACAATTCTTTTTTAAATCAGAATCTTACGATTTTAACGGCGATACGTAATGCACATTTCAAGACACAGCTTGCTTTATAGCATCAACATTATCGATATCTGTTTTTTAATGTAATCAGATTTTTTGATACATTACGATATATCTATTATATAGATATATCGTAATGTACGTAATAGAATTTCAAGTGCTTTGAATCGTGCAGTAATTTTTTCTGCTGTCTGAGATATATCGCTTATTGTAATAATCGCAACATTTAATGGTAATCTGCTATTCACCGCCTCGCGTTTTCTAAGAAGTAAAGTCCAGTATTATTATCACTTGGTATCTAACAAAAAATTGATTGGCATGAAGAAAATAATTGCACCGAGGGGTAAACCGCTGATCAAAATCATGTACACCAATGCCCACTAATGGGCATTACTTTATCTTATTTATCTTATTTTATGTTTAAACAGGATGTTATATAATACCCGCCTCATATCTTATTTACGGACAGAGCGGACTCGACTGAGTCGAAAAGTCCTCTACCATTTTGCAAATTTCGCAATAGTTAACGAGTTATTAATTATTAAAAATCGCTGTCTTAGCCCAGCCCACCGTCCAATTGAAGCGCGCGCCGAGATGCGGCCGTCCCGCGATTGGCGTTGCTAGGCGCGCGGGAGTTGTTTATTATACGTAGCCGTTGCCGTGTGTCATAAACAATTCCCCGTGCACCTAGCAACGCCAATCGCGGGACGGCCGCATCTCGCCGCGAGCTTGAATTGGGCGGAGGGTCGGGCCAAGACAGCGATTTTCAACAAGTAATAACTCGATAACTATTGCGAAAATTGCAAAATGGTAGAAGACTTTTCGACTCAATCTAGCCCGCTCTGTCCATAAATACGACGTGAGGCGGAAAAAGCATGCAGTACGCAAAAAGCATCGAAATCCGCAAATATATCGAAAATAATTTAATTGTATACACACGTCTCATTTAATGTGTAATAGAAGAAACAAGAAAATGAGAGAAGATGAAAACGGAACCAAAATATAACATTTAATATAGAAGTTAATTTAATGTATTGCACGATAATCGCAAGATGTTAAAATCGATAGTCGCCGACGTATCGCCAAAAGGGATTTACATTGTAATGTCTGTTTCTGCGCGACGAAGCTTGATCGACACAGCCGGTCTGGCAATTGAGTTATGACCAATTTGCGCAGCTGATCGGCGATATAAATAGATCGTGCAACATTTACGTACGGTTATTCTCGTTACTTACCGATACACTCTTTGACCGACGACATCGAAGACGAAGATCTGACGCAAGAATTTAACGAGCGCAGTCCTCTTTCTTTCACTTCTCTCGTGTTTCTACATTGTCGAATGTATAGACAAACGATAACATTCCATCGTTTGCTCGAGGAATTTATGAGTAGAACATTTTCGTTCGGGAAATATTGGTTCGAAATTGATCGATAGGTCCGCAGTGAGAAAAATATCCAGTAATTTTGTGAGACGCCTCGCGTTCTCGGCAAACGGTCTTTGAACGAAACGACCGAAATTTTTAGAACGGTCATTCGCGAGTTCGTTCACATTACACTAATCTAGATCCGGAATAATGTCGTCATCAAGCGGCGGATGCGGGTCGCTAAGATCGTGCTGGCCGATTTCCAGGTCTCGCTGAAAAGAGATGGAGACGGGCGAGAGAGAGAGAGACGGCAGCCACTTGAAGCACCGTCCGCGATAACTAATCGACAGTCAGAATCGGCTTTGCGCTCGCTTTCTTTCAACACTCCGATCATTTCGTCAGAATTTATTTCTTATGCCTCCGTTCGCCGTTCGATATCTGAGCAAATGCGAAAGAGAGAACGAGTTATTTAATACCGATTAAAAGTTATCCAAGAGCTTTGAATTTAATCCCCGTCAGATAAAAAAATTAGAGATAATTTTTTATCTGACGGGGATAAAATTAACAGAAAAAAATCGAACGGAGGGAGCGCGATAATTTTTTCGTAAACAACGAATTCATCGAAAGCGTTAATTATTGAAAACGAAAGAATTACCTGTCGTTAAAACGATAACAATTTTCACGCGTAACAGGAATAATCTGTTTACAGAAGCGTCTTATCTTAATTTTGATAAACTTGGAAATATACGAATTTTTTCGCCTCCTTTTTTCATGACTTGAGGAATTTATATTGCAAATTTTACTATGGAATTTAGTTTACAAATCAGTCAAGTTTTAGCAATACATTTGCAGATCTGTTTGTATTCCGACAGATTTGATTGATTTCGTAAGGCTCACCCCGTGCCGTCCGCGTTCCTTCGTTATCATTATCTCTCCTCGTGAAGACGTGCGCAGGGGCGCGGGTGCTGCTCATGTGTGCCGTTTGTTTGTGTGCTATAACGATGTTATCGCCTTTCAGCGGCTAAATATAGCGAATACTCTAACCTGCTTCGTTCAACGTACACGATATCGGCGTGTGTTCGTTTCACTCGCTTTACTCGAACACAGGAATGCGAGAATCAGGCGGATTCAATTTTTCATACCACGTTGTCTTCACTTTCTCTCTACTTTTACGGTTTCTTTTTCGACCAACCTGAAGTCGATTCTTTTCAGGAAAAAAAAATGTTAACGCAAATACAAATTTATTGTCACAAACCTTAAAAAGTAACCTTTTGAAAAAAAGTAAAAAAGACGCCAAGTGTAAGCGCCATTCAATCAAGAATTGTATAACTTAATAATATGTAAAATTATTTAGATATATTTTATTAGGAAAAAAACATTTTTATCTTCTTTACAAAAGTATCTTCTCTACAAAAGTAATGATATCATTAAATTGCGCCAACTAAAATGGATATTTATAAAAACCAGATACTTTATTATTTTAAAATGTTATGTCGAAACAATCGAGCGTAAGATTTTACCGAAAGAAATAAAGGAGACAATAATATTAATGAGGCAAATTTTTAATACTCATTCAACAAAAATATAATGCAAACAACTTTAATACAAATAAACATTTTATTAAACGACGGCCTGTCCTAATGTAATTGTTGAATACATATCGGTCCTGATTCACGACATTGTTTATTAAAAAAACTTGAGAATTGGGCGAATTCAATTTTTCATACCACGTCGCCTTCGCTTTCTCTCTACTTTTTCGGTTTCTTTTTCGAGCAATTAAAATTTTTTATAAAAAAAATATTAACAACGCGAATACAAATGTATTGTCGCACGCACGTCATATAAATTCTCTGATTTGTTCTGTTTTACCAAATTTGTCACGAGCCAGTATATCGAGCTCGACTAAATAAGACGGACGATTATTAATAACTTTGAATGCAAGCTATTAATATGTCTCCTTATGACGACAAAGGATACATACTAAAATTGGAGATTATTGCGACATTATCGATATACGTCATTGTCATAATCTGGGCATCTCGTTTAATGGACGTAAGGCTTAATCGAACGTGATAGAAATATTTATAGCACATCTGGATGATTTTGCATAGAGCGCCGCACCATGAGCGTCGATCGCGAATGAAACTCCCGCTTCTTCCAGCCTAATAAGTTTATAAATTTTCTCCATCGTGGAACTGAAGCAACCAGAGTTGCAGGATATCCCGGTCATTCCGAGGAGTCACGCTTGCGACATTACGAGAAAAAATATTATTATCGATGCGCGATACAATCGTCTTATAACGATTTCCGCGAAGCAATTTTTGCGGAGAGAAAAAACGTTGTTCTTTTTATCTCATCAATTCTATAATTTTACCACGTAAGGGAGCACTAAATGTTGAAAGGCATATCTCATTGCACATCTGATTTCCTAATTATCGAATGTTTAACACCGTTATCGCACACTTGACATACTTGTGTATTAAAATATATTATCTGCGTGCACGTGGCGAGCGCACCGCGATCCATATTCGTGTGTCCTACATTTATTGTATTTAATACAGAAAGAGTTTCCTCAAAGAGAGAGAAAAAGAGATGTTATCACACGAGTCGGCAATATATCACACGTGAACGTGCTAAATGTGGAACGCGAATTAATTCGCTTTTGCCCGATTTCAACTTCTTGCGGATCCGGAATTTCAATTCCGCCGTGCACGACTCGTAGGAGGCTCGCCGGAAATCGATCTAACAAAAGCGGTATCTCTTCATCTACAATCGTACCGTTTCGCGGGCTGCTCGCCTTATTTCGCCTTATCAATAATCGAATCGGCAGCGCAAATTCCCACGCGGAACGGACGAAAGTCTAACGGCTCGGACGCGACCGACACGATTATTCACTTTCTCAGCCAGACGCCCGCTCTCTTCCGGCCATCCCTCTTTCGTTCCCACCTCTGCCACGTGCGGGCTCGGTTGTACACGATAACGGAGAACTATAATCTTGACCTCTACTGTTTTACTGTTAGTCAACAGAGGTTCAATATCGACGCCCAGACTCTTGACTTGGAAAAACTGTAATTCGACCCTACGATTTCGTGAAAATTCACTTGAGATTTTACTCCGATTTGCGACAATTCAATCTGGCAATCAATTGATTTGAACCGAACGAAAAAAAAAACCAGTCCGAGAAGAAGCTTCCCCGGGAGGGGGGACGCGTGAATGAGAAGCGCAAATTCCACGTGTTCCTTTTTGTGCCCCGAGATAAAATAAAATCCATTCTCGGCAAGGCGCGTCAGACGATAATTACCGCGCAGAGGATTATAATTATTATGCGGACAGAAATATCTTGGAAGAGACAAAGGGGTTGTACCGGCGCTGTGCTCCCCCACCGCGACCACCTTGAACGCCCGGCGCGAGTGACGTGACGGCTCGATCGGCGCGGCGCGGCTTCGCCTTAGTCGCGTGCCGGTGGCCCGTCGCGAGTCAACGCAGTTGCTTACGCGCGTAAGTCGGCTCCGGGCCCCGACACCCGCGGTGGTCCCGTGCGACACGCGTGATTCGCATCGCGATTCCGCCTTTATTAATCCGCTCGCGAAACGCCGACCGTCGTTATCGCGATCCTAATGGATTAGTGGCGTTACACCTTGGAAGGAAAGGAGGGAATTTCTTTACGAGTTCGAATCGGGCGCCCGAGATCGAACAGCGATCTTCCCCCGCGAAGAGACTGGCGGATCGGAATTATCCTGGAAAAGGCGGACTTGAGCGGTACCAGTTTAATATATCGGAGTATTTTGTGGGAAAAAGTGTGAGAGACGCCCTGCTAATTCCAATGTAAGTGGAGATTCTTGTGGATCGAAGAACGGAGTTATCTATCGCGGCGTCGATCGTAATCGGTTTATCGTCGAAAGATCTCGAGCTTTGAGAAACCGATTTCAAGTATATCGGTAATAATTGGCGAGTTTTATCAAGCTTGACAAATATTTACCGAGAACATTGGGGCGATCGATTGTCGAAGTAATCGCAACTTGTGTCAAGGAAATGCATCACTAAGTTTTGTGAGAACAGTGAAGTGTTGGAAACAATATGAACAAGGCTTTTCTGATTCTATGCCAAAACTCCGAATAATAAACGCGAATTGTACAGAATTGACGACGTGGGACTTTATGAAACCCGAGTGCCAGTTTTTTCGAGCATTTTGTGTAAACGGTGATCGAGAATAGATATTCGACGATCCTACGTGGACAAGAAATCGTTAGTTCGAAAAAGAAAACATAAACGGTTATTGAACTTGGTACTTCGTGAACATTCGCGATATTTGAGCCTCGTGAAATTCGACTTGAAAGAATCGCCGATTCTGCAAGTCTGAAGAAGAATATTGTGGAAACTATTTTCTCGGATAAGAAATATTTATCGAGTTCACAAAAATACCATCGACTAGAAACGTTCCTGGAAAGGCAACCTGGAATGCGTGATATGTAGCTGGTATAAAATAAGTTGCACATGAAAAATCTACAAGAATTATATTCGTAAAATTGTTCGAACGGAAATTAAATTCTCTGAACAAAGACATTAAAATCGACAAGTCGCAAGTTCTAAATATATTATACATGCGTAATGGAAAATAATTTCCGTCTGTGATTCAAAGCGTTTAAAAAGAGCGCGTTAACCTGTAATATAAAAAACAATAAAATAAAATAAAAATAGAATACATAATAGAGAAATTAATAGCGGAGAAGGAACAGACGGAAGAAACGATAGAAGAAAATTTTTGTGATGCGACATAATTAATTACGGAAAACTAGCCGAGACCCTGGTCTCGCACTTTGAAGAACCGAGCGAAGCGATGAAAATCCAATCTCGATATTCCAAAGTATGAGACGGGATAAAAGCGAAGCGTAGTTGCGATATACCGCGGGACGTTTCAGTAATTGATCGATCTGTAGATCATGGCGCCAGCAAACAATCTCGATTGGTCGGAGCCGTGTCAGCAGTGGCGATACCCAAAATTCTGTCCGACAGCGACCGGGCAGAAAACCGAACGTCCTAAGAGCGCCGTGGAACTGGGTGGCAAAGAGGCCAACACTGCCTATAAAAAGTTCTGCAAGTTCTTGCGCCGACTAGGCAACAAGAAACGTAAGTCCGCTGAACGATCGATGTACCCTGTGTGTGTACAAACGCGTTGGTACCTCGTAGTTTTATAACTTTACACAGAGTTGTGAAGTTCTCGCATATTTTGAAATATTACAGCGTTATTAATTTTGAATTCAGCCGCGAAAAGTTTTGTTACACATATTTAAAACTTGACTGGGTAGTGTTGAAAAGAAAATTGCAGCACTTGGGTGTCGGGTTACGTATTCGTGGTTTAGGCTCTTAATTTAATAGGCTCGGTTCTTGTCAATTGAATTATTGTCTCTCGTTGTGCGTATCGAAGACTTCTTATATGTTATCGCATAAATATTTCCACTTTTTCTTCGCGACGATAATCTGTAATTTTCTTATACATTTCCACGTCATGAAAGAAACCCGACGTCATCTTTTATCTCGGTCCTCGGCGAGAAAACAATCCACTTCATCGGCGCGTTTCGGAGCGTCATCTAGTTTCCAGGGCGATTTCTCGCCGATCTGATTTCTATTTGAGCGATGGGCCGATCTTCGCGATGACGTATTTAATAAATATCGTCAAGTATACGTGCCGCTTTGTGTATCGAGAGAGCGCTTGATCCTCTGACATTTACACCGTCTCTCGGCGGTGCCGTGTTTACTCTTGGTCACACGTACCGTGTGTGATATGGTTTTTCTGTGTATTCGAGAGTGAGAACAGATCGAGAAAGCAAGAGAGAGAGAGAGAGAGAGAGGCGAAAGGGTTGAAGGGAAAGTCGATGGGTATCTGTTATCCTCGATATTGCTACCCGCGAGAACGCTCCGAGGGAGGCTCTTTCCGTTACGGTAACACAAACTGAACATTAAGTGTACTCTGATAAAAAATATCTTAATCCCAAAAAATATTACCTCACTCAAGAAAATTATTCGTTAGGTGGCTCCTAATAGCTTATTAACTTAAATTTATAAAGTAATAAACAAATTAAAACATGCGTTGCTTTAATTCAAGTATTTATCAAACATCAAAGAATAGATAATTTTACATTTACAAAATTTTATTTTAATTCCATAAAATGTTTACCGAGATGTAATTTTTACAGCGAAGAAAATTGGATTTCTTATTTAACAAAAACAATTATTTTATTTAATAAATAGTATTCTATATCTCGTGAAATCTTTATTTGAATGTAGAAAATATAATGATTTAAATTAATTTACTTAATATAATACATAGTTTTACTTGAAACTTGACATTTGTCTTTAAACAGAATAAATATTTACTTCAGTATAAAAAAAATTATTTTAAGTAAATCTATTTACTTAGTTTGAAAAAATTTTTTGTCAGTGTTGAATTCCAGTAAGCGGCCAATGAATCTTTTGTGGTCAAACGAGATAGTACAGTGAGGTGATAATAAAAATGCAATAATTCCGCGCACAGCAAATTAGTGGATTATTCCATTAAAACTGGCACTCATTTTGTCACTGGTAATTTAGTGTTTTCCTTCATATTCCCTGTTTTTATTTTCTATCCTGTAAAATAAATTACGTAGAATAAAAGCACTTCGTAATATTGTAATTATATCTTATTTTTTAACGGTCTTTTATATAATCAAACGCAATTGTATTCTGATAATGGAGCATCTTAAAATATCGAGATAATCTCGCGCAAGTCGCAGCAATCAGTAGGTCTAATCGCAAGAGATCGCCGCGAACCCTATTCTTCCGCTCTTCTCTGGCTTGATTAATTTCCCTCCCTTTTTTTTTTTTATTATCCGCGCGGCCTATTTCGTTAAACCGAGCACGACTGCCGCTGACGTCGACAAAGAAGCCCCCGATATAACGAGGGACGCCCCCTTAAGTCTTGCGAAATGCCACCGTGAGGACCGATACACAGATATCCTCTGAAGCTTTCTTGCTTCACAGGTAGGGGCTGCACGCCGCCGCGGGAAAGGTCGAAGTCTCCTCCGATGCGCGCGTAACGCGATAAAAGGGTCCGCATCGTACGCGATGCAGCGCAGCAGCTGCATCGCGCTTCGTTGCGCTTTTTGTCGCAAGCTGGATTTAGCTAGCTAGCTGACTAGCCGGCTGGATTTTCTAGCCTCGACTGTCGCTTGACCCATTTCCTCCACCGGCGCGGTGTTTGCTCGGAAGGTGTTTTTTTTAAGGCCCTTTCAAGAGTCTTGAAAATTATTCTGAGGCTCTGCCTCTGGTTTTCTTGAAATTTTTAGAGAGAGAGCACGTCCACAATAATGTACTCTATAGTTAAAATAATTCTTTACTGCCGTATTTCTCAGTTTATACTTGGAAGATACAAAACGGTGGGTGCATCCTGGCGCGGTAAAAATATATTATAGAGATAACGGGATATACTTAAGAAATGAAATCGGCACTTAAAGATGGAAGAAACAAATTTGTATATTAATTAACCTCACCTGAAATTATTTTATTATAATATCTGCTTGATAAGCTTCCTATGCTTTTTATATTAATTGATTTTACGTTTTTATATTTGTTTATCAATTTATTTTTATACGTTCTTTTTATATTTGCGTATCAATTGGTTTTTCTAAGTAGGACGTTTTATATGGATGCATGTCACGATTTAATTTGGCCGGTGATTCGCTCAGCATCCTGCCAATGCGTCGGCGTTTCGTAGGAACGATTTCTTTCAAGTTTGCCCGCTCTTTGTTGTTCAATTCCCGCAACGATAAATCAGAATTGAGATTTCCGTAGCTGTCGCCGATGCAATTGTATACTGAGAAAAATTTGCATCGAACAAACCAATTAAATTGTGTTTCCGACGGTTAATTTTTCCTATTAAATTATGACTATATCCGATGAAATTTTGATCGAAAAACCGATCATATTTTTCATCGGATGTACAATTTAATCGAATGTACCCGTTTGTTATTATATAATCGGATTATCCGATTATATTATTATATAATCGGATTATCCGATTATATTTCATCGGACATTTTTCTCAGTGTAATAATTGCGTTTCTTTCGCGTACGATTTAACGCACATCTCGAACGAAACGACTGCTTGCCGTATTTCGCCGTTAATGAATGATGTGTAAATTCTTTCTCTCTGTTATATTTACAATCAAATATAGAAAATTATAGGTAGATTTCTATTATAGATTACTTATAAGGGATTTGACGCTGGACATGAAAATCTAATCGGCATTAATCTCGCGAAGTAGAAAAAACAAATGATTCACTCGCGATCTTCAATCTATGGTTGACAGATGATTGAAAATGTCGCGATCATGTCAGAAGACAAGACACCGTTCACGTGGAAATTAATCGTTCGGTGTACTCGCAAATCGGAATCCTCGTATTCACCTTCGAACTCGAAAGCAGGTGATTCTCTACTTTCGAGGAGAGTCTCGATTAAGGATCTCTTACCTCAATTTGTCAGTAACAAAATATAATTTTTACAAAAATCACGTTTATTTAACCTTATTGTCAAAGTGAAATTACAAAATATAATTTTTACAAAAATCACGTTTATTTAACCTTATTGTCAAAGTGAAATTACTGCACGTACAACGTGCAAAAAGCAATTATTATATTTAAATTTTAATTAAATCCTACGTGTAGTTCTCTCCAAGTAATTCTTTGTTGTCATTCTTCAAACATAAAAATTGTGAAAAAGTAATTAAAATTATTTTGATATTAACTTTGGACAGTTACAACTTTCTAATTTTATTTTACAATGAGTTATTTAGTTATTTAATTTTCTAGTGTCCAGTTTTTACTAAATAGAAGAAAAGACTTTTCGTGTCGTTTCAAAAGGCAGTGTCTTGGCAAACTCGTATTATCAGAACACGATAGTTTTATGGACAGTTTTTTAACTTTTTACTAAATCACATTACGATTATTTTGCTGCGTCCATGCAAGCAATCTGAGCTACTTTAATATGTATCTCGTCTGTATGAATCAACGACTTCGTGCTGTCGTACTCGATGTGATATCAAAATAGCCTGCGTGCACCCGGTATCCGGCGCGTCCGTTTTTAACAACGGACGAAAGATATGACGAAAGGTGTGACGCAGTTGAGAAATTGAGACGCTTTCAGTAACTAGGAATACGATGATCGTCGGCAAAAGTCTCGCGTGGAACTCGCGTAAATATTGCGTATTGCGTGAGAGACTTTACATCGCAATGGTAGCAAAACCGGTTATTGTTTGCAATAATTTACAACGCATGTTCAGCAAACTTCAGCAAGGCTATTCCGCACGTTTTCTATCGCCGGTAGAAAATGTCCCTCGACGTTCGATTGTACTCATTACGCGTTCATCCAGTTTCGCAGACCTGCGCGTTTATCTGAACGATAAAAGGAACTGTCGAAAATCTTCCCTCAATTATTTCCTTTAAGGAATCCGCTGGAGACGTTAAGTGTCGTGGGGGGTCGTGAAATCGCGAAATAATTATGAATTGTAAATTTTCCTCGAATAATGCAACCTTCGTGCTGCGTCCGCGAGTCGCTGGGAACTATTAGTGGTATGGCAAAAACAAATCAAGGATTAGACTATTTCTGGTCGACCGTGTCCAAGAACCGCACGTGAAAATAGCGACGATCGCGGTTCCGAGGTGTTGTAATTTATATAACACTTTCCAGACTCGGGGACTTTAACGACGTGCGTAATCTTTTTCTACATTTCTGCGAAATACAAAGTTCTCAGAGAGAGAGAAAAAAAGAAGCGAGAGGGTAGCATCTCGAAAGACTACATTTCTGCGAAATACAAAGTATTCGGGGAGAAAAAGAGGGAAACGTCTTGAAATAATAATGTAAAAATGGGTCGATTGCAGAGTGTCCGACATTGTTCTTTATCAGTAGGTCGTGTTTTTTTTTTGCAAAGAAAGAATACGTTGCATTTTGTCATAAATTTTTAAGATATCGTTGATGTAGAAACTTTACGAAATGGGAACACCCTTTCCCTCGATTCTCGAGGCTCTGGGCTTTTAGAGGGAGTTCGGTTTCCCGCTCCTGTTTCCATTTCCTTTCGTGCACTGTGGTTTTTCCCGATTTCTTTCTATGGGTAGTGCAATGTACCCTGCAGGCAAAGATGGCAGCAAGGTAACGACCGTGGTGGCGACTCCCGGTGCTGGCCCGGATCGTCCTCAGGAGGTCGCGTACACCGATACCAAGGTCATCGGCAATGGCAGCTTCGGAGTGGTATATCAGGCGAAACTCTGCGATTCGGGAGAGATGGTTGCTATCAAGAAGGTTCTCCAGGATAAGCGATTTAAGGTAAGCATTTTTTATGCATCATTTTCTTACGTACAGAGCGAGGGGGAAACCGCTGAGGGCATTGTGCTGTACAGATTTGCGGCATTACTGGGCATTACCAGGCATTAGTTTGGGCATTAGGCCTTGCTGAGGCATTATAAAGATAAAATAAGATCAAATAAGATAATAAGATTAAGTAATGCCCACTGGTACAAGATTTTGGCCAGCGGTTTCCCCCTCGGTACAAAGTAACCAAGTACAAGAAAATTACGAGCTCAATGAAAACGTGCTGAGAACATAGCAATAGCTACTAATAGTTCGTAGTTACTAGATATTGAAGTATCACACTTTATATTTTGTTTTACTTAATTCGATTTAATTTGATTACATTCCATTTTATCCATTTATTCTACGTTTATTTTATTTCGCGTTTTATGTTGTTTTTATTTTAGTCTATTTTTATTTTTTCGATTATTCTATTTATTTAACAAGCAACAAATACATTGACGAAATATTATGATGAACTGTATGCTTTTGTTCTTTCAGAACAGGGAATTACAAATCATGCGACGCCTTGAGCACTGCAACATTGTGAAACTCAAATACTTCTTTTATTCTAGTGGTGATAAGGTAACTATCTTATCTCTGTTTATCTCCATTTTTCTTGAATTTTGAGCGAAGATGAGTTCGATGTCTGTTGGCAAGAAAAATTTTAATTTCTATCAATCTGTCTATTGTAAATGGAGAGAAATTCGCGTGAAAATAATGCGAAGTATATAACTTTAATCAGTACAGCTCCCTTGATTGGCGCGCAATTATCAGTTTTATCGGTCTGTTGCGTAACTCACACGTGCCTATAAATAAAGCGAGAGATGTTCATTTAATGCATGCCACATTATGTTATTTTATAGAACATCTTAACCGCGACTAATCCGGTTTTTCACGTTGACGTAAGTTGAAGTGTACCCAGTAGTAGTTTGTACAAGAGTCCTCCTTTTGGCGAGAGAAAAAAAAACTCTAGGCGAATTATCGCTTCCACATAGGAACACAACATCTTCACATTCGTATCATTCCTTCGAAACGTCATTCTTTTAAAAATGTCGAGCTGGGTGCGATTAGATTACGCTGCTTCGCTAGTCTTGTTAGTACGTAATTTTTCTGAAGGCGTGTGTGATAATTGTAAATGTTAATAACACAGAGACATCGACGTGTGTATCCAAGACAGATAATAATGATGAAACGTATAACTTAAACGTATAACGATCCCTATGGAGTATCCCACAATTCGTTATAATTTTCTTAATCGCAGAGTTGGCTGGATCTTGTAATTGATGCTTCTTTCATAAATTCATAAATCCATAAATTTAGAATATCATAAATTCTGAAACTCTAATAAAAAAGAAAGTCCGTAATGAAAAGATAAAAGTTTTCGTGTAAAAATGAATAAATAACATAATTGTATTTCTACGTTCTAATCTTTTTTAAGTAATTTTTTATCTTGAGAAAGACCGATTTATAAAAATACATGCAATGTCGAAAACTAGAAGGTTGAAGAAGTATAGAAGAATTGATAACCATAGGTTATCCTATGCTAATTATAGGATAATTAAAAAATAATTAAAAAATTGTCTAATTAAAGAGAATTTGTCGCGTGAAATTCAAATCGCGCGAGTTGCGGGAAACTCTGCATCTCTTCCTGACGATAGCATATCAAATACGTCGTCAATGTTTGGTTTTGGAGTAGTGTGCCTTTGAGACGACAAATACTTGTAAACGGACCCCCGCTTGTTGAATGAATGTTACATGCAAACAATTTTCGTTTTTCTTTCTTCTTTTTAGAAGGACGAGGTTTACCTTAATCTAGTCCTCGAATACATACCCGAAACTGTGTACAAAGTCGCTCGACATTATAGCAAAAGCAAGCAGACGATACCAATCAGTTTCATCAAGGTGAGCCATTTTTTTATACCCCTCGTAATGCAAAAATAAAAGTTATATTTGTAAATCTGCTTGTACTCTATTTTATAATTTTCAAGAATTAATCTTTAGAATATCGATGTTCTTATCAGATATCTCTGATAAAGTAGAGAGGAGATATTCTTTCTCGAAATGCAATACTCTCGACGCTTAAGAATATTTTACTAAGTATAAATTTGAAATAAAAATTACAACAATTATTGATATCATGTATGCGATATTTGTAATGTTTTAATTGATTATATTTGCTATTTTAAATTTGCTACTCTCATCTCAGATTTATACAATCGGAGATCTCAAAGAACCTAGAAATAAGTACTGACTTGTATACGATTTAAAAAAAACCTTAACAAATTTTGTATTTTTGTATTACAAGAAATGTGTTTTGCAAACTAATCGGATATGAAATATGATACTATGGGAGATAATGTTTGTTTTTCTCTGTTCTTTGCAGTTATATATGTATCAACTGTTCCGTTCGTTGGCGTACATCCACTCGCTGGGCATCTGTCACAGGGATATCAAGCCACAGAATTTGCTTCTAGATCCGGATACTGGTGTTTTGAAACTATGTGATTTTGGTTCAGCTAAACATCTTGTGAAAGGCGAACCAAATGTATCCTATATCTGCAGTCGCTACTATCGCGCACCTGAACTCATCTTTGGTGCTATTGACTACACTACGAAGATTGGTACGTTTAAAATGTCAATAAATTCTTCTTTAATATCGTGTATTAAATTCGAAAGGATTTCACCGTTGATTGTGCTGTTTGATTCTTTTTGTTCTAATTTGTATCCGAAAATGTAATCTAATTCTTGGTGCTAAAATTTTTTAGCATAAAAAACGTTGCGGTTGATAGCGAGATGTAAAAAGATACATTATTTAATTGAGCCTTTTAATTCTTTTATTATATCTTATTGCAATTTTTAATGTAATTATCATATTTCTCGACAGATGTTTGGAGTGCAGGTTGCGTGCTAGCGGAACTGCTGCTAGGTCAACCGATATTTCCTGGCGATAGCGGTGTCGATCAGCTGGTAGAGATTATCAAAGTCCTCGGTACGCCTACGCGCGATCAGATACGTGAGATGAACCCCAACTATACCGAATTCAAATTTCCACAAATTAAGTCACATCCTTGGCAAAAGGTAGAGTCTACTATTTTATTTTCACATATAACTTTATACACCTTGTTATTAATATCTACTTATATACATACATGAATCCAGCGGCAATGTATTCTATGTATTTCTTCATCGTGTGATTGTCTCGATTTGTTCCACACACATGTCTATTAACTTTGTGACTCGATGAATAATTAAAAAAGTCCACTTTCGTCTTAAATCCATAATTTTAATAATAAAGATAGAGAATATCTTGGAAATATATATACACGGTACTTCAAAATACAAATTTCAGAGAAATATGAATTTTTCACACGGACAGGGTAATAACGAAACAAAAAACAAGTTTTTCAATTAACTTTTGAAGTTACAGGATAAGGTAGAGTCGAATTTGATGTAATATTGCATGAGGAATAATTCAACATGCACTTTCTTAGGGAGAGATTACTTTTTTTGCGTTTCAAATACGATCGATGGCAATAGCGATAGCGCTTCGATCAATGCCATTCATCAATACATTTACTCGTGATTTGCAGTATATGCTTCAACGAATGAGTGAAACACCTATGTGTTCCACGGAGCATCAGAAGATTAGAGTAAGTGATCCGACTTGCAACAAGTGTTGTTCAATATGGCTGGCACAAACTTTCTCTATCTTGGCCCGTTGTACTAACATTCGAAATAACATCTAAACTTCCACTTCGATATCCGGATGAGCGTGCAGACTTATTCCCAATCTTATTTAGTCATTACTTGAGAGGGGGAAAAAACGAAAATAAAGGAAAGACTGGTCTTCAAAATTTCCTTTACGATCAGTTATCTTCTTCATGTAACTCCTCATTGCCTAGTCTCATCTGTTAACGACACTAATGACTATTTATACGCGATTTCTTACATTTTACATTTGTTATGGCGACTGAAAATGATTGTATCACTTACTCTGATGTTCTGGTGATATTTGAGACTTGCATTTGTCAAACTTGAAAGAATGAGTAACAAACATACTGTGGCCTTTCGTGTCTATTGTGCAGAGAATAGTGCTTGGAGTCTGTGTTCATCTTAGATGTACATATTCACACTTGTATGTATTTCAATATTATGCTGATATGTATGAAAGAAGGGATATACAAACAAAGTTGCGTCCAAGCACATGGTATATAACTTTAGACTAAATTAATGGTAAATTTTTCTTCTATGTTCTTATTGGATTATATTGGATATCTATTCTTTTATAAGGATGTAGTAAATTGTACAAATTATAGATGAGCACAAAAACATTGATGTTTTACACTGGATGATTTTCGAATATAGATAGATAAGTTTTTAGTGACAATGTTAATGACAAATATCGGTGTTATCCTCATCCATTCTCATTGCCGATAAAAAAAGCATAGTTATTTTATTTTTAGTTCTCAGCAGGTATCAAAATAAGTTTCTTAACTTTAGGACTACATTGTATTTTTGTCTACACAGATTACATACTGAATCAGATTTAGCCTGTTATGTTTATACAACTTTGATACAAATATATTGTTCGATGAATTTGTGCACAGGAGAACAAACGCCGCGAAATAGGATTATAAAATAAAAGTTCAAGTATTTGCTAGATTGCAAAGTGCAAACGTTTAAGCAGGAGACATTTCCAAGAATGCTAGCATTTTTTACTGGATTAAACGGACTAATATAGTCCTAGGGTTAGACGCCATAAACTGAAATGTAAGAACTGAAATTTTGTATACGAAATGAGACGTGGCTAAAATCATCTCGTTGTGAGTCTATCATCAATAATCGCGACCTTTCATGTCCATCAGTAGTAGAGTAGTGCTTGGAATCAGTGTGTAATTTTCTTAAACGGGATTTTATAGATCTTACAACATTCACGATACCTACTGAGACTTAAAATTGAGAGTTTACATGTCACTAACTATTTTTGTTATTAATCATTCTTCAATCAACAACCGTCAATCTTGAACAATTCTACACAATACTGAACTTTTTTAAGACATTGAACAGAAAGTATCGATGCGATGATAAAAGGCTTTAATTCGTATTCTTACTGCTCGTACTGGCACGTTTACACCGCTGATCATAAGGAAACAAATGAGTTTTATAGTTAGTCAACTAAAGTTAATCTTATTCTCACTGCACATTTACAATTGTCTTAGAAGTATATTTATGTAACACAGTGCATTATATGTGATGGAGAAAATATCTAATCTTGCATATCTGTCCTTCAATGTTGTAATTAGCTGTCGCATACGAATGCACAGTAAGTCTATGGTAATATTGCATATAATTATTGGCCATTACTGATAAACTTCCGTATTTTTGCACGCCACTTATATATCTTTTGCACCTCAAAGAGGATCGAAGAAATGTCAGAATTGCCGGAATATCATTATTGATACGTGACATCTCTGTTAGTCACAGAAACTCAATATAGATCGTTCTTATCAATGAAATAAATCGCTTAACGCTGCTAAAATGAATGAAACTTGCACAGTGCGTTGTTACGGACAAATGTACTACAAATTGAGTCGAGAATAGGATTTTTGCTTCAAAGTCCGTCCTTGGAGCGAGGACAAGTCATCTCTACTAGTCCCAGCGAATGTGTGAATCAAAATATCGTAACATTGATCCAAGGGAATATTTATTGGTACATTTAACAAGGAGAGTCGAGGGTACAAGTTTCTGTCATGAACTCGATTGTGGTTGCAGGTATTCAGGGCGCGCACCCCGCCAGAAGCGATGGACCTAGTGGCACGGCTGTTGGAGTACACGCCGTCGCTGCGCATGACGCCGCTGCAAGCGTGCGCGCACTCGTTCTTCAATGAGTTACGCGAGCAGGGCACGCGGTTGCCAAGCGGCCGTGAACTGCCGCCGCTCTTCAACTTCACCGAGCACGAGCTGCGGATCCAGCCGATCCTCAACAGCATGCTGATACCCAAGTACATGCAATCGGCCGCCGCCACCACCGGTACGGAGGGGAATCCCGGCGGGGGCGGCGGAGGCGGAGGTGGCGGCCAGTCGGACGCCACGGGCGCCGCTGCCAGTGCTAGCGGTAACTCTAGTGATAATAGCGCCAGCAATCCCAACACCACCACTAACACCACCGCTACAAACACGCAAAACACTGACCCCAGCCAATCGAACATGGCTTGAGCCGCTTTACTCTATCTTCTACTTTTCCTTTCCTCTTTAACGTTATTAAACAGTTGGGTTATGACGTTGTTACGGTGGCATGACGAAGCAACCATCTTCTGACGAGGATGTCCACGTTGTAAATGCGACACGCCGCATTGCGGAATACATAGATAATAAGATTTTCATCTTCTCTTTAGCGAGAAGTAGAGTAGTGCAGCGACGCGATTCGGCGGAATTAAGGCTCCTCGCTCGTCTCTGTAGGCATGTTGTACCCAGGGGTCCTGACTCGCTTCGTTTCAACGAAAGTTTTATTAATTCGTAATTTCCAGAGGATTCAGGCAGATCCCGACACTGACAACTTAACACTTCCACTTTTCGCTGATTTTTTCATTGCTAGCTGTTTAACTTATCAAACGAAATATGTTGTCTGCCAATCTACATAGTGCATCTACAGTTTCGTTAATTAGATAGCCAGGATTCTATCTCGAGCATTGTCTACTTTTGCATCCTTGGTTCCTTATCTTTTTTAACGGCAAAGTAGCTATTCCCCTTTCTACGGAACAGGAGTATAAACAGACAAATTTCGAAATAGAACAATGTTATCTAGTTTGCGGAGCTGTAATCACATTTTTCAGATTCATAAGGACGTTCCTGGAAAAACTGTAAAGCAATCGTTAACGACAGAACGTACAGGGAAGATAATAATTTTACAGTTGCATGGGATATAGAGAAATGTATATAGATATTTATGCATAAATGTAACACGTTTAAACTGCGCGTTCCGAATAACTGCATACACACACTCGCACAGTTGACAATGATAAAGAAAGCCTTCAGATTTCTTCTTTGTCCAAAAACAAAGAGATGAGGTGGAGGTCGTTATATCTAAGCTGATATAAAATCAACGAAGATAAGAACAGACCGGAAAAAGCATTTCGTGCTCTTTCTTCAACATCTTTACACGGCTAGACAGAGAACGCGCAATTTTTATTTTTGTTACATGCGTAGATATCCAGTATACGACGTTTCACATCTCTTTACATGACCCAGTTCGCTGTTTTTGGAAGCAGCGCTAAAATTCATCTCTTTCCAGGAAAGGAGTTCGGACCCGACATGAGCGTACAATATCGAAAGCATTTTACACATTAAAGTAGAATACCATTTTTTATGTTACAACATGTATTTAATAGAATAGGTGCACGAAACACACCAAGAATTCGTCGCTTTGATAAATATCTCTTGAAGGTCAATATTCAATATAAAAATTCAGTTCTGCTGAAGACACACGGAAATCATCATGACATATTAATTTCTTCGTAAAGATATAGTCTCGGAATTTGTGTTCACAAATTTCTCCTATCAGCTACGACTTGTGACATGCGATTAGCTAATTTACTTTAATGTGTGCATGCGTGAGAAACAAATTTTGACATTCTCTATTTCTCACATTATAAACCTATCAGGAGTCTTAATTACGCCTCGTTGTTGTCGAATCGAATTCAGTGTATATATATGTGTAGGAATTTGACCCCTTTTAATTTTAAATGCCGCTAAATGCGTTTACTCTAATTAAAGATAAACTAAGAGGATGTATAATCTAATGCGTTTAGCGTAATGTCGTTTGCGTCGCCATCATTTTATGTTTTAAGACAAACTGCGGAACCGAAGCTCGACAAAAAAAATGACAATTTGAGAAGAATGTGATTGCTGATGACAGTTGAAGGATGCTACGTTGTCTTTTTGTAGACTAGACCGGCGCAATTTGACAGCGAATGCTTAATTATACGCTATGTATATATAAAAACTAAAATCCTTCTTTAACACATTGCCCGCTGTATTATACGCGTCGTTTATATGTGAATGACACTCTTTGTTCCTGTCATTTAAATACGAATAACATCAAATTTTCGTAACCAACGTGCAATGAAGTTCTACGACAAGAAAGTGAGTTATAAAAAAGAATCAGATTTAGTTCTAAAAAGTTTCCTCGAATATATTCATATATTATAAGTCATTCATATAAGTGACGTGGTCAATGTGTTAATTGATAACGTTTACATGCGCGATCCTTATTGAGTTAAACTACAGTCGAATGCGCTTTTAATATGAATTCACCAAGATCAAACGAATTTGTTTTTACACTTTTCCTTCTATTTCTAATTGGAGTTTAGTAACATATGTATATTGAAAATGTGTTCTTTCCTACTTGCTTTCTGAATCTAATATAATCATTCAATCACATAGCAAATAAATACGTATGATTAGTGGGAAAGTTACATGGCAAAGAAAATTCTGTTTAAAAAACATTTAGCTAGTTTATGGTGGGAGTTGATTATATTCGACTGTAATCATATTATGACTGGGCACTTCTAGACAATGTTCAATATCTGCAAAATTACCTTGAAAAGTACATGCTTGTTGAAAGAAAACCATCGTACTGTTAATGCATAATTTGGCAGCAAAAACAAATTACTTTATTGCTGAATTGACTTAAATGTACATACTAAATGTACATATAACTAGTTCCTCTTTAACCGATAATCGCTAAGCACGATTTGAATTGAAAACAAACTGAAACAATGTGTAATCAAATGTCTAGTAATTTATTAATGCATCGCAAATTGAAAAACACATTGATTGGAAAAAGATTATCGTGCTGTCGACATAATTTAGCATATACACACACATATATATATATAGGAATCGTTCCTTCTTTAACAACTGATAATTGCTAAACGCGTCTCTAGTTGAACGAAAATTCAAGATAAATATGTAATTTAGCATCTAATATCAATTTATCGAATGCGATGGCTGAATCAAAACCGGTATAATTTTACATTTGAACTTAAAATTCAACAATCATTACCCCAGTGATAAATGATTCGTCGATCGATGTCGAATCGACATCTACACCTTCGAATTGATGTCGAATCAATGTCGATTTGACGCCGTTTTGACATCGTTCGATGAGTCATTTCTCGTTGGGTACATTTGTATATGTGAATAAATAGAATAATACTTTGTTTCTTAATATCATTTCTGTTGGAAAATTATACTCTACAGAATTATATCGGTTTCAAATTATATACGGATTGGTTTGGAAGAAGGCAAAAGTAGAAATAAACTGTTCTCTGTCACATTTTCGATTCGTAATATGAGTTTCAGTAAGGCGTACTCGTATTTCCTCGAGATTTCAGTCAATCTGCAGATATCGCATACTATAGAATGATATAACAATGAATATGGATACCGAGCGATAATATCAATAATTAATGTCTGCATTTCATCTCGATTAATGTCATCTTGTAGACAAATAATCATGGAAAGGATACTCTTTATTTTGTGTTCAGATTTCGAACGGAATTCTTCCGTTCTTACTGATAAATGCTGAAAGATACTTGAAATATAAGAATATTCTTCAATGTCGCCAGCAGCAATTAACAACGTCGGTGTTTTCTTGACCATATCTGGCATTTTTAATAATACAGAAAATTTATTGCGAAAAAATATTACCTCAGCCAGGTTTAAAGTCGAAAAATAGACGCGGTGACAACATCTTTATACTGTTGTTGCGATAAATATTACCACATGCCTCAGTGGTCGGATTGGTGAAACGCCCGCCTAGAGTGTAGGGAAGTCCAGGTCCATACCCAGGCTGAGGTAATATTTTCCGTAATAAATTTTCTCTATTATTAAAAATGCCAGATATGGTCAAAAACACTGACGTTGATACTTGAAATATGTTTGAAATACGTATATATAAAGGTGTCTCGGACGTAAAAATCGACTCGCAGACTAAGATGCGCTGTCCGAAGAAAATATTGGCTAACAAACTCGTCTTTCTTGTCGTAGCACTTATTGTTAGCGAGGAGACAGACATTAATTAATGCCTATATCGGTCATGCCTCGACTCTAAAAATTGTTATCCCCCAAGTACTGTCGCTACACTATGATTTTTTCCAGATTCTCGTCTTTCCAAATTTTCTCCCTTTTTTAAATCTAGATGACGAACTTCTAATCGACTCAACGGAGCGATTGTAATACTTTTAAGCCGATGACACATCGTACATGGCGAATGGACTTTTTGACGTGTTAATAAAACTCTTTCAATAATGAAAAAGGCATTTTGTACGTTATACTTGTCCCAGGAATCAGTTACGCGGGAAGACAGTCGGAAATTTATGTTTTTCTTACAAGGAAATATGTGATAAGAACAAAAACTCTTTTATTAAGAAGAAAAATTTCTGATATTGCAAAAATTATAGAAAGGTTTGTAAAGTTCTTTTTTTTAAATATATTTTCAGGCACAAAATAAGTATTTGACGTATACGTTATATGTGAAATAACAAAAATAAATAATCCTTATACTTAACTTAGAAAGTATATTTATTATTGAGTTGCTACTGTCGGTAATTTTGTAATATATTAATTGTTACAAGATTCACAAAAATCAAACTATTTGTTAGTGGTTTTTAATGATACAAAATGTATAATATAAAATTACGAAAAATTATTAATACATGTTGTATAATTTTTTAAATCTAAAATTTAAAGATAAATCGACACTCCTCGTAGCCGCATTCCGGGACAGTCTGGTTATCTTAACATATGTAGCATATTATTGTGTTATAAAAATAATATTCAATCAGTTTGATTTTTCTATCAGGAGATAAAATCAAAGATAAAATGCAAAAGAAGAAAGAATGAGTGATGTATAAAAATTAGAAATGTTGATATTCAAATTAAAGTTTTATCGATGTTGAAGATGTTAAAATTAAGTTCTTTAACTTTCTCGTCTTTCTTTTTTTTCTAATGATTGGTACTGTATCTCTCGTTTGATTTTAAACAAAATTATCGTCAACTCTTTTCTAACTTTGAAAGAGTACATAGAATTTATTTTTTCGAAATGTACTTTCTGATTTTGAAACGAGACCAATACGTTTTGTATTATACAAGAAGTAGTTACAAATGTGTCGATGATAGAAAAGTGAAATTTGCATTTTCGCCATGTACAAATTTGAATTACATTGTTCTGTACAATTAGCAACAAAATTATAAATATTATAAATATTATTATCAGCAATATATATTATTAAAAATTATATGAAAAGGTTAAAATATTGCATACAATATATAAATACAATCTGAAAACAATCTAAAGGACTAGTTTAGGTATCGGAAGCAATTTTGAAAATATATAGATTGTTAATTAGTTGTACATATTTTGAAATAATTATTTTCTTATTGTTTTGAATTCGTGCATTTATAAAATCTTACTTTAAGAGATGGCTGACTCGATGCAATGGCTTGAAGTCTCTTTCGTATTATCACATACATTGATATACAACACGTAATATTTTTCCGAAAGAGATTTGGAAATAATCGAAATTTAAACTCAGCAAAGTTACACCTATTTTCTAAGTTTGTTCGTTACAGTTGCATCACTCGCACTTTATTTTTGTTTCACCCTGAAACCTAGATATACATCCATTTCATTTTAAAGCGCATGAAAGTGCAATGGATACAAATAGACTTAACGTTTCTTTCGAGCGAATTTTAAAAGATTATCGAGAGAAACACCGAATTCAATGAAGGAATTAATCAGGAATATCCATTTATTGGATGTGGATGTTATTGATTATTTATCATTATTATTAGCAATAAACAAATTCATCGATTCTTCCTTTTAGTTGATTTCCTTCTCGTCTCGTCTCAGCGCGTCTTTTCTTTATCATCTATGGAAAGCTTACATTCAGACAAACGGAAGGAGGGTTCTCTGTATTTTATAATATTATCAATTAGATGATTACAAAACTCTTGACGTGATTGTCAGCTTGAAAGAAGAGCGTGTAAAATATGATAACTATACATATAAATATCGATCGAAAAGTTCGTTTATTTCATTTTTTGTTTATTAATATAAGAAGCCATATAGAGAAGAAATAAGAACGAACTTTTGATTAGTCTAATAATAATAAAATTATAATATGTATATATAATAATATTATTATTAGATTAATAATATAAATATATATAGAACTTAATATATAGAATTAAATATACGATGTATATATGTATGTGTGTGTGCGTGTATGTGTGCATATATGTATGTGTATATGCATATATGCAAATTAATTAAGATTTTAATGATAGTGGTGAGTAAAAACACATCGGTGTTGTAAAGAAAGGGTGCGGAAAGAAAGGTTAGACAAAAATTTGCTCTTAAGGTTCCTATTTCTTCATTGTAGCTCTATTGAACTGTGACGTTAGAAATGCATGAAATTATGAAGTTTTCTTTACGTTATAGATGGAAACAAGTCGGTTGTTCGTATGTTGCAACACGCGATCGATAATATAGATTACTAAGCGTACAGAGAAAATTACTTGTTTTATTGGTAATTACATGTATAATTTAAGCTACATATGATTTCCAACAAATTTTCAGCGTAGAGGAACTCGATCGAGATCAACAGCTATTTATTAATCTACGAGAAGAAGGAATCATTGGCATAGCTTATCTATACAAACTATTTATACAGGTCTAACAATAGATAGAAAGCTGCTTGTGCGGAAACTAATTGATTTCGATATATTCTGCAAAAAAAACTTTATTGGCTCAAATTTAATTCTTATTTGTAATGCCACAGATCAGATACAATGAGAAAATAAGAACTTTAAATAATATCATTATATATAATATACTCTTCTTGTTTTACAATGACATCTTATTCGTTAAGTTTTTTTTATCCTAGCATCATCGTTTACACCCTTTAAGATGTAACGGATAAAATGTAACAATTGTGTAAAGAGACAAACAATAAACTAATTTAATATGTAAAATATATATGTGTAGGAGTGTGTGCGCGTGTTCATGGATATATTAAATTACTGCAAAAGATATTGAGATATTTTTACAGGCTCGAGACAAAATTTAAGTTCAAAGTTTTCATAGAAATGAAAAAGGAGGAAAATTTCATTAAAACTGATAAATGAGAATTGATTTTAACTAATAAAGGCAGTTTCTCTTAAAACTATGTTATTTCTCTCAATAAATACTTTTGCACTAATATAATACATTGTAAAAAGTAATTCATACGTTAGCATCGCTAATGACTGCATGTAATGTTTTGCATCGTATTACATGTTAATATATCTGAATAAGGTAAGAACGCTAAATAGTGTGACTTAAGATATATCTCGATAAAGACCAATCTTTCTTAACTTCTATTTTCCTAAAACGACATATCGCGTAAGGAATTAATGTAATATGGCGCACATTACATTAATCCATTAACGACCAATCTCATTCCTGAAATAAAAATTCTTGTGAATAAGATGAGTTTAATAATAAATGACGTTCAGCCCCGTATCAATTCTTTTAATATCTCGTTTTTAAATATAGGAAAATGTTCGAGAATATAATAGTAAATTAGTCGCATTGTAACATTAAATAAAAAGTAAGACCAATTATAATGAAATATTGTATTATAAATGCAGTTTTAACTAAATTCTTTCCAGTACTACGGTCTTTAATGGATTTATTAATCAAACACGAATAAAAATGGATAGGAAAAAGGAAATTGTTGAAAATAAATTGAGTAGTTTCAGCACAACAAGTAAATGATTGAAAATAAACCTGAATCTGAAAAATGTAACCTTTTTTTAACATCTGTGTATATATCTTTATATCTTTTGATTGTTACATATTAATTTAATGTTAACTTTATTTTAATTTTTTACTAAACCTAGATTTTTGTAATTTCTACTTCTTGATTTTGATTGAAGAGAAGTAGAAATTGAAAAGTGATGCCTGTTGTTTATAGAGAATTGAGACAGAAATATCTCTACTTCTACATTTTGCTTTTTAAATACGTTAATATTAATTGATTTAATCTTTCAACGAAGAGTTTGCAAATATGTCTTACGTATAATTTTATACAAGTGATTTTTTTCCTTCCAATTCCATTTCGATTCGTCCACTTTTTTCACAGACATTCTATATCAAAATGTATCTCATACATCACCCATCAAAGTTCGTCGTATAAGTGAATTTATATACTGTTGCGGAATATTTGATACGAAGGTGCGAGTGATACGTTAGGAATAATTTTAATTTCCATTTGGATCCGAACTGATGTGATCTCAATATTCGTGCTAAGAATTTCAATGGTTGGACATCCTCTTCAGAAGTGTGCAAGAAATCTTACGAGGATCAAGAAAACTTTGAATTTTCAATTCAAAAAATTTACAATTGTAACTATAATTCTTCTGTTTTTTTTTATTCTGTTATAATGCGAAACTTGTTTTTCCAATTAAAAATTTATTAAATCTAAAAATTAAAATACCGGCTGGAGTTCAGCTACTTCTTTTTCAAAATTATATCTTACTTGCGTACACAGATTAAAGCTAATCAAATTAATGATAATCAATGTATACAGGGTCTCTCAATATTTTTTGCATTTTATTGTAACTTGTTAAACTTTAACATTATATATTGTAGTAACTACATGTCAAGTTAAGAATTTTATTGAAATTTAATTCGAGTTGTACAACAATAATTTATTATTTACTTATCTGTAATATTTAAATCGAATTGAAAGACATTAACTTTTTATAAATGTCATTAGTAGAATTAATTAAAACATAATCAAGTGTACTTATTATTCTAACGATTTATTCTATTAAAATTGCGCAAAAATTTTACAATTTATTTATCTAGATTTATAAAACTTATTTTTGTGACATGTCTTTCATTTTCAATGTACTACAAAGTGAATTTTCCACGAATTCTCGGATACCCTGTACAGCAGTTACATGCATTTCATTATCACATCATGACATCCTTAATGACGACCTTGATGACGTTGTGTACTCTAACCGATCTGACCTGATGATGATGCAATCAATATCTCACGAGTATAATCATTAGCAAATGCGTTTAATATGCGCACTTATTCTCTTGTTCGGGACAGATATTAAAGAATCTTTCGACACAATTATCAATTTCCTCAAATTATTTCTTTTTTTTTTATAGAAATGAAAAAGAGTTTTAAGCTTAAAAGCTTTTTGTATAAAGACGCTTATTAAATATTCTAACATTGAAGTAAAACATGATAATCTTTTTTACTTTGTTTTATAGACATCTTCATTGAAATTAATATTGTTCGAAAAGTTTGTTTTATGTTATGTTTTTCTACATATTTTAATTTTTGTTTTTTCCCATTTTTGTAATGAAGAATACTAGACCGTCGTATCTTAAATTGTAAAAGGCATAGTTTTTTATTTGAAAAAGAAAGCAAAATAAATTTTTATTTGTAAGAAAACTATTTAACATATAATTTTTAAATTAACGTTGAAAATGCCATTAGAAGAAAAAGATATGACAATTTATACAGAGAACTACGTAATATAAATTAAAGAGAAAATATTGCATGTTAACATTTAAAGCAAACTGCATATTTACACTAGCATTTATTTACACTAAGGAAGAAATACATTATACAAGAAATATCCTGATAAAAATAAGGCCTCTTTCTTTCATGACCCTGTACCTTCTTTACACTCCTTAATATCGCATTTTAGACGAGGACAAGGATGCCAAGGAGACAAAGGAGCAGGAAACTCATCAGGAGCAGCAGGTGGTGGACGGCGAATAGAAAAAATATATTGGTTGATGCAGATCACGTCGCGCCCCGGTCGGAATGGATTATGATGAAAATGACGATACTCCCGAATGATATAAAGGATGGCGAATAATGATAAATCAAGGTAACACCCTCGGCCGCAGGCGCAGTGAGTCTTTAATGTTTAAAACTCATGAATGTACGATATTAGGGAGAAATTGTTTAATATATATAAATATATATATAAATATATATAAATATATATATATAGAAGAGCGAGAGAGAGAGAACGAGACGATGCATAAGAGACAAAAATATTTACCACACAATTAAATAAAATGAAATTAAGATGAAATGAAGATTAAGAAAAAAAAGAAGTAAAGAGTAGTGTTAGTTACTATCACGCCTATATGATAAAAACGCGCTAATTCGACGTCATGAATAGGTGTGAGATTATATGCGCATGTGTAAATGTGTGTGTGAAAATAAAGGTGCGTTTGGAAGAGAGAGAAAGAAAGAAAGAGCGAGAAAAAGCATGTACATACATATATATGTATGTAATATATAAATAACGCGCATATATATATAAATATGTATATGTATGTATAGGTAACTAATTATATATGACTACACACTGTACTAAGCGGTGAGCAAAAAATTGAAAAAAAGGTAGTAAAACTCTTATTACACGATTGCTATGTTTACACAATTATATATATACACACGAGTATATATATTATATATATATAAAATTATAAATACACACACTTACCTACCATTCTCATTTCGCTACTCCTCCTCTGCGTTCTTTCTCTTGAATGTTGTTTTTAGTTTTACGGAACATGATGACGCAAAAAAGAATCGTATTAGTCGCAAAGACGATGATAATGATGATGAATACCTTGTAGTATAACTCTGGATGTGTTTAAGCGAGAAGGAAATCGCGAGATACCGCGCCGTCGTCAATCACGCGGCGGGATCACCCTATATAATAATATTATTATTGTATATTTTGTGGTTTATTTAACAATAAACTATTAACAAAAATGTTAATCGCTGCCTCGCTCTTTTTTCCAAATGCAACATTTGCTTTCTAACTTTGCTAAATATGACTTGCGGTAGAAGCAACTTAATACTCGAGCGACAATATACTGGTCTTTCAGTCGAGATGGAAAGAATCGCTCTAACGATTGAACTTGTCTATTCTCTACTTGAGATATTCCCTCAATTTTGTTCCCATCTTCTAATGTGTACATGCGTAAAATAAATAAATCGCCCGCTTTATCCTTTACCCGTTTTCTTATTCTACATACAGCCACCTGATTACACGATAAATGTGTATTGAGAAGAGCGTAATTTTTGTTTCTGAAAGTTTTCAGGTAAAAAAGAGGATTTTAAATAGAGAAAATTTATATGTTAGATTAGTCAACAAATTTTTTATTTTTCCAAACTTTCAGGGGTGATTTTTTAAATTCTGGTAATGACGAATCTTGCAATGTCTTTATTTATGTTGTAGAATACATTTATTATATTGTATAATACGATCACATTAGTTTTTTGATATAGAAAAGAAGGAGAAAAATACACGAACATATGAAGCACGTTACAATATTTCTACAGATTTACATATGTTATAACTTGTTTTCTGTAGAACTGTTTGAAATGTTTATTCTCATGTAATTTATATCTCTATAAATTTCGTACCATTTATCAAGAACAGAAAATGGATAATAACTCTCTTCACGTCGAAACAATTGTAACGAAACAGCCAATTCGGAATGTCTTTTATTACAGAAATATGCCTGATTAAATATAAGATCTCATTAGCCGAGAAGAACCTTTCTGATCATAGCACCACTGACGAGCTCCTCGTCACTGTCTCGCGGCTCGATGCATTTGCTGCTACATAAATATTGCAACAACGGTAAGCGATACTTGCCACAGAAATCGACAAACTTAATGTGCTCCACTCGGTTATTAAAGAAAACACCTGCGCAGAAAAATTTACGTTGACTTAGACCCCGAGATTCGATCGAGAAGAATGCGTTCAGAATGCTTTGTTTTTCCCGCACTTGCACATTTTTTCGAAAATTTTTATGCATTGCAGAAAGTGTATCGCAGTCAAATTTTTTTCCCTCGAGCTTACCACCTCGGGAATGCTCGGCTGTTTGATTGAATTAAGCTTTCCGTGCGTAATTTCTCGAAGTAACATTTTATCTGACTGCTTGTCACGATTGGATTTAGTTTCAACTTTCGATTTTCGTGTTGACGCCCATTGACTCTCCTTGCTGTCAGCGTTTCAACGATCAGAAAAATAAGAGGTGGTAGTCAACACAAAAATCGATTGCAACGAAATCCAATCTCTATTACAATTATAACTGTTGATAATTCTTGGTAAATTAACGAAACACTGACCTTTGCACTTAGGATTGACACAATGGTGGGCGCTATTGAGGTACTGCACTAGGCTGTGCGGTATACTCTCGTTGTCGTAGCGAATATCGTTGGTCTTGATGACACGGGCCGCTAGCTCCAGCAACGACGGCGGATTGTGTGTCATATCTGATACAAATCTCACTACTAATGGATTATCTCGTAAAGACAACTGCGAAAATAAAATGAACGCGGTGTATTCCGTGTAAAGAAATTATTTGATTCAACATGAATCAGTTATAAATGTTGAACTTTGCTGCGTAAAATTTCTATGGCAAATTGAACATTTGTAGCTGACCATCAAAGGATGTGGCAAAGAAATTAATCTTTTGTTGTAATAAAAACCGTTGATATACCATACTTTCTTGCGGTAACAACAGTGTATTTTGTTTCAATGTGTTTTTATTGAAAATTTCATGTTGTACTTTGTACTGATTTTGATAAAGTTATGTTTACTGTACAACAAATCTGCTATTAATACTACGACTAGAATTTTAAACTTTATAGTTGAAATTATAATATTCAATGATATACATGTACATTAGTGTCTCGGAGATAAAGTTAAGTCACAAAGCTTAAATTTCATAAGAGAATAATTCGAAAATTTTGTCTCTGCATCAAATTTAGCATCGTGCTTTGACTTTTCTTAACTTTTCCACTAAATAATGTTCTTCACTAATGTCTTTTTAGAAGAAAACAAATAATTGTTCCATGTTGCGGCTATTATTGGTGCAGAAAGGAGGATTTAACAAGCTATATATCTCTGTAAAACTATGGACCTATTCATCACTAACTTGACAAGTTGATTCCTGAGATGTAAAAATCTCGTTTTAAAAAATATGACTTAACACTTAATTTCTGAGAAACTGATATACGATATAATATAAAATATATGGCGATTAAATTATTTGTGACCAACCTCTGTGAGGCATTTTAATGTTATTATCTCAGTTGGCAATGTTCGCAGCCTGTTCCTATGAAGCGATAAACTCTTCAGATTTGTTAAATTGGCTATTGAGCTTGGCAGGCTCTCTAAGGTGTTGTCGCAAAGTACGAGAGCCTGTAAGGACTTCAGCTGACCAAGGGTGGACGGTACTTCTGTCAATCTGTTGTCTCCCATCGACAAGACTCGCAACCTTCGCAAATCATAATATTTGATAAAAATGTTTTTATAAAAACGAATCGTTCGATTTTTTTACATATAAAAATAATGCGCATGTATTATATTCGCAAGCAGAGGCAATTATTTGAATTGATAGTATAAAATGACTATTATAAAATTCGCATTTTATGATCATAAACCAATACAAAATGTGTGTCCAAGACTGCGATCACACGAGCATTAAAATAACGGACGGTATGGTAGACGTTACGCCGTTTATTTTAGCATGATATTCAAGTAAAGCACAGACAGCAATTAAAATTGATTGTACAGCTGGAGTTCCAGACAAGACAACTCTAAAAGAAAACGTAGATCGAAATCGATGCAGCAAATTCAATTCCTTTATCCATGTCCCTCTTTATGTGCGTGAAAAATTAGATCTTGCAACACTGAATAGCCAGAAATCATCTCGGTACATCTTGATATCGCAATTATAAACTTTTAGACGTCAACTTACTATTATCAATAGTGGCTTCCTTCACTGAAATTTTTTACAACTAAAATATTTTATTATAGTTTTCAGCTTTCCTTGTGTTCTTCAAAATACCTTTTTATTTGCCAATTAATTTGCCGACAATTAAATTAATGAGAATTTGAGTTTTTATTTAAACCTCGTCACCAACTAAGAATTACGTAACATCAATATTATAATTTACTACTCAACAGTGTAAACGTTATGGACAACATGTGTTATATTACATTTACATTGTTGAGTGGAAAATTATAATATTAATGTTGTATAACTGTAATTAATGTTAGCCAAGTAATTATTATTGAAATTCATAAAAATACGCAATTACCCTTGCAGCTTCCAGATATCTTTGGTAATTTCGCTGATAAGATTGCCACTCAAGTAAAGATATCGTAAGCCAGGTAGGTCTAGAATCTGTCCCGGAAATTCCGTGAGTCTATTGCCGCCTAAATTGAGTTCCCTCAAATTGGTGAGATTCGCAAAATCTTTCGGCAATCCATCATTCGTGAGGTTGTTCTGTTTCGCAATCAAGCAGGTCAAAGGACAATCCGCCCAAAAGTCCGGTAATCTGGTGAGGCCGCAGTTCGAGATGTCGAGGGCATTCAAGTTGGTGAATCTGTTGATACTGGCAGGAAGAGTCGTAAGACGATTCTGGCTCAGTAACAAAGTATCCACTTGCTCTTGGGTTTTGGTATTGAGGAATTGCTTATCCAACGCTTCGTCGTTCAGTGCCAAATAAGTCAGGTCTAACGTTATTAAAGCGGAATCCGAGTCGCTCGAGTCCGACGTGTAACTCTCCATGGCTAAGCTGTAACATTTCGCACTTACTTCAATGTTGACTCTACTTACTATTATTATTAGAAAAGTAAATATACGGGGCACAATGCAGTAGATAACGTCCGACAACCGTGTGTGGCCATGTCGGAAGGACATCAAATAATCAGGAGACGGACCGCATTCGAAACTAACACATACAGCACCAAAGCTTTCAGAAACATTTCAAAAAACATTGTTGCAATGTATCTGAAATGTTTCTGAAAGCTTTGGTGCTGTATGGGAGAGCAGGTAGAATTTTTCTTGGAAAAATATGAGCGTTTACTGGGTCCCGATTAGTCATTCAAGTGTCTTTTCAAGGAAAAGAGGGGGAACGTTTACGCGTAGTTAAAAAAAATGATAATATGTAATTTTGTATAAAGTCGCATCGTCATTGTCACAATCGCGCAAGCACGACAGAGGAGCGGCAAAATGTAAACAGTGGATGTGTATTTTTCGTCACGTGGATGATACATGACGATGTGAATTTGCGTTCAGCGTGTTATCGTATACGACGCATATCAGGTCGTTACAAAAAATTGATAAATTCGACAAACGGTCACTGATTAAAGGCGAAAACTATTAGTGCCGAGATTGTTATCGTAGCGAAATAATTTTTAATCGGTTGGTAAGGAATAGCATATTGAAAGTACAACGAGAGTATTCTTTATTTCATATAACTTAATCGTCGATTATTATTGGCGGGCAGGCGCGCGCACATCGTACATTCGGCGCATGTAAATTAATTATCAGAAATCGATAAGATTCCGAGAAAGTCGTCACGTTGTTATTGGTTGAGCGATTTTTCTCGTGAAAAAAAAGTTTCCAAGAAATGCAGCATTTCTACCGAGTTGCAGTTATTATCAGTATCGTTACGATATTTTTAAAAAAGTTATATATCGATACGTTGACAAACTGAGTTTGATAAGGAGTTTAAAAAGTTCTTTATAGACGGAAAATATGATTTTCATTCGGTCGATGGCTGCACAAGTTGCGCCCGCGTGGCATTTTTTAACAAAGAAGGCGTTATCCGACGTAAGGTGCAAAGCTTTCGCTCCGTGTTACGCGTGCATAAAAATATTTGCGGGATTGAAGATCCCGGAAGTGCAAGACGATTGAAAAGGCGAGCGCGCGGACGTTTGAAATCCGCGCGCGCGCGACAATCGCGATGCGATTCTCGCGTGACGTCACCGACCGCGAGCCATTTGGTACAAGTGCGTGAGGGACTCGCCGGGCTCGCCGTGAAGCAACCATGACACTTACTTGTTACTCGTTTTGTCTTGGCCGTCGGGGACGATGCCGTTGGCGGCCTCCGGACGCTCCCCGAGTGCGCGGTGCGCACTCACCGTATCTCGAACGAGCGGATCTCACGAGAGCAGCGCGAGCGGAACGACGCACGACTGACCGAACACGACCGGGGATCGTCGCGCACGAATCGCGCTCGCGTGACATCTGCGGCTCTGCGGCTCTTTATCAGCGCGGTCGTCTTTATCCATCGCCTATCATCGCCGCTGCCGCACGCTCGAGCCCAGTCTCCCCGCCAAGCGCTGTTGCAACCAATCTCACATATAATATGTCATTGTTAACGGTCTGTCCTGGGGGTCCCGATATATGTTTTTCTTCTATCAGAAAGACCATGTTGAAACACGGTTTTTGATCGGGGGATTGGATCAGTTTGATTTTGGAAAATCCTTGCGAAAACATATTGAGCCTTTCACTGGAAAATTAACGTCCAAGTTTTGCTCGGCGGGCCGGATTTGGAGAATGAAACATTTTTAATGAATTTCTGATAAAACCCAAAAGACCCTAGTAGCACAATATATTGGCGCAGTACTGGAAAATAATGTCAACCTAGTGTTCTCAATATTGGTCCAATATTGTAAAGCCCGTATCAGACTACGGATTGGGATCAGATTGAAATTTGACCAATTAGAGTAAAGGTTACTAAACTCGAGATTAGTAAACTTTACTGCGATTGGTCAAATTTCAGTCTAAACCCAATCTCAATCCGTAGTCTGATACGGGCTTGAGATGGACGCCTTTTCCTATTTAGATGTCTATTCGGCAATATTGGTCTAATATTGTATCAATATTCTTATTACATTAAATAACAATGGCTCGTATAATAAAATCACGTATAATAAAAGGGGCTCGGAGCCTGAACAGGATTGTAATGTCCGATAAAATTACTTTATTATAATAGCAAATATATACATACGTTTCGGACCTTATTGGACCATCTTCAGTATAACGAAAAAAATAATAAATACAATAAAAAGTATACATCGATTCGCGAATTAAAAATATACATAGATGACGCAGTCAGTAATATAATCTTATTACATTTAAATGTTGGCCAATGCACTTGCGACATAAATCTAATGTTATATAATTATTATCGTGAATTTTTGAGATTTTTCCTCGCGGAAAAAATTTAAGAAAGATAAATGAATGTATACATGAATTCGTAAAATTAAG